TTAGAATTTTTTAAATAGAATTTCGTAATGAAAATGATAAATAAACGTTTCCTGAAAATCTTTGTATTAATATCTTCAAAATCACTGATTTCTAATTTTAAATTTGGGCAATGAAATATTAAATCTTTTTTTCAGTTTATAATAATTTGTTCAATATAAAATATATAAAATGTACTTTTCGTAACTTACATTTCATGTAATCATTTTTTACATAGTCATTGTTCGCAAAAAATTTAAATATACCATGGAAGTTTTAATTACCTGGAATAACAATATTCTTGTTTTTGTAGAAAGTAAACATAATATATATATATATATTACATTTTAAAAATTATAGATTTATAGATTTATTAAAATTTGAGTTGAGCTTATATATACGTATATAATAGGATATGTGAACATTTTAAACAGTGCAATTGTAAGATGATCATTAGTTCGAAATAATATACAAGGAATGTATAATTTATTATCTAAAAAGAAAAACATTTTTTATAAACCAAAAGAGGCAACGATATATGTGCATTACTTACATCACCAAAAGTTGCGATGGATAAATGGAATAATTTTCCCGCTGTTATCTTAATTACGTTATTCGATCGGGCAATAATCAAAATGAGACCACGTGCAGTTTTGTGATGTAGATTATACCAGTCAGTCATATATGCCATTTCCCCAACACGTTTGCACTAACAAATTAACAGAAGATTTAAATTTTTTATGAGAAGAAATTAACAGTATGAATTAGCAATATGTTAAGGAGAAATATTCAATTTAAAAGTTAAGTAGGGGAAAAGAGGAGTAAGATGATGACCTTAAGATTTATTTATTTCTCTTTATTTCTATGATGGCTTAAAAAGAATATTTTTTTCTTCATACTAAAGCGTTGATTACCATCTGTAAAATGAACTATTAAATAAATTAGAATTTTTGAAAATTTATTTTTTAAAAATATGTCAATTTCACAATCTTTCTCACGAGTGAAAATCATCTTATTTGTAGTCACAATGTTTATAAATACAAATATTGTAAGGGTAATAATGAAAAATTAATATATTATTCCATATTATACATTCTTGGCTACACTATATTATACTGTGATTTTATAAAGAAAATATCTACTATAATTACCTATTTTATTATTTATAAACTATAACGACAAAAATTACATATGTGCATTCTAAATAAATATATTTCTTATTATTTTTTTTTTCATGGAAGTATTGTCAAATTATAAAGAACAATTTGTTATTTAAAACTTTTAATGAATTCATTATTGGCCCAATATCTGTTATTAGCTTGTAGTCCAACAATTCGTCATCTTATCCACTTTATTATTTTACTTTCCTTTCATTTAATTACATTTAAAAATTTTTTCCTTTTCATTAATAAAAGAGCATTATATTTTACGCTTTTCTATTAACTGCGTCCAACAGCTTAATGAATCCGCTCAGTAATTCTTCATTATAATCCTTATTTGAATACGTTTTAAATATAAATCCATTGAAATAATAAAGATCAAAACCAATGACCGCGTTTGTTTATTGTATGATGGCAGTTTTTTGATAGGATTACATTTTTAGTTCTAGGGGAATAGTCCTACTTTAGCAAAAAAATTTTCAACATTTGTATTACATTGTGCACACCATTGAGTGAATTACAAAAAAATATTAAAATCTGACATTTCTTGGTTTCAATATCTTTATATTCTTGACCTGTTCTGTGATAATCTCTCCGATGTAGCAAAATATAAAAATATTAAAACCCATTGATAAATACATAAAGACGTAAGACGTTATTTTTGCGGTATCAAACGTTTCCCAAGCCTAAAAATTAAAATATAATCTTATTTTTGTCGTGTTTTATATAGTTTTTGGTACATATCTTATAATAGCAACATTTTTTGCGTTTCATAAATGAATGATGTTTAGGCACGTATTATAAGACTTTCAAATTTTTACAATCGTTGACCTACCATAATAGTGTAATATCCAATTAAGCACAATGACATTGTGCATCCCATTAATTCTGCAAGAGAAGCTTTGTGCATAATACTTTCCACACGTGATATAAAACTGAAACGTATAAATGTAATAGAACTTTTATTTTTCATAATGTAATTATGTATATATTGAATTGATGGTTTTCATGAACACAATGACAAGATTCTCTTTTAGTGATTTAGAAAAAGGAATTTATTTTAACAAAAATATTTATTTTAAATAATTAATTAACAATAAAATTATTATAAAAGATTTGAAAATTCTGAAATATAAACTTTGTATATTTTTTAATAGTGTTTGTGTATAAAATACCTCAGTGTTCTTAGATGATGTTCTACGATTGCGCCCAATTTTTGATTTGTATCATTTCTCTTCTGATTTTCAACAAATTCACGTAGCCACGCATTCAAGACGTTCAGCTGACCACAAGCATGTATCGCGAAGACAGCAGCCAAACTGCAAACACTAACGGTAGAAAAACTCGCTACGAACATTGTTAGGTTCTGCAAAACTAATGTGATTTCATTCACAGGACTAAATCTTGTATCGATAATCTTGCTGTAAATCGGACAATTTGTTGGATGCGTCTTGAAAGTCTCGTTGCCAACGATGATGGTTATAGTTTTCATCGATTTCCCTAAACTATACAAAAACAAACCGCCCTGCATAAACACCGCACAGATTATGACGACGAAACGACCGAACTTGGCATGTTGCAGCATCACTTCACGTTCGTCAATCTTTTGTATGAGACTCCAATCAGCCTCCATATGTTGTATTAATTTATGAATGTCACGATTACGCTTGAGCAGTACCCAGTAATGTATCGAACCCAAAGCTCTATGAAGTAGCGGTCCTATGACATTCAGCTTTTGCTTGATAGTGTCTGCCTCAAATAACATATGTAACAAACATGGTATTGTTGGGACTGCTATTATGCTTGAACAAATGAAAATTTGTAGTAGTATCATGATTTTGTACACTGAACTCGGCGAATTTATTTGTGGCCACGCACCAATTGGCTTTAGGAACCATCTATTAATTTGTAAACTGTAATCGATGTTTTTTCTTCGTATGTCGCTTTCTGGTACATGTTTGGAATTTAACATGATCACTGCGCGAAAGCACACGGTGTACTGCCACGGATAGACAGCTCATTGTGCCAGAATATGAAGAAGCGCCTGCGCCAATCTTCAGAAAAGTTTGGTGATCGGTCCTACATTACAAAGTTATTCTAGCAGGTACGTATATTCAATCGATATAATTGTTCATCTATAGTTTTTATTGTCAGATGTCTGAGAGAATATCGCATGTCATGAGGAGTGTATATTCGTGAAAGATATATATTCGTGAAAGTAACAATAAAAAGTTGCTTGAACTTAGCAGATTTTCCTGATTTGATATGTTATAATATATATTTTCCTATATCAATTTTCAAAGCAAATTAATTAAATGACGATAAAAGTCAGAATATCTTGAAGTAAAGGAAAAGTCTAAATATATACATATATGGAAATCAGAAAAATATTATATATTACATTAATTTTTGAATTATTTTATGTCCAGTAATCCTATACCATTCTAATGTTATAATTTTATTTGTTAAACTTTCATTAAAAATATATTAAACTGTAAATGTAAGCATAAAATTATTAACATTATTTGTTAATTCTTTTACTACAATTGTCTTTTGAATTAGAACAAAAATATTAGTTGGTTGACACTCATGTATGATTGATCCGACGAGGTTTTAAATTAAAGTTCGATCAATAAATTGAACTTTATTGATCGCTGAATCACGGAGTTTCAGTACACAAATTCTGTAGATATTTTATAAGATCCAAGATAATTTAGAAATCTTGTTTGTGTTGTTATAATTCATGAGAAAAATTATAAATTATTAGTAATTATACCTTTGAAAGTATGTTATTGTGGAATTTATAATGTTGATTTTTACGTAATTATTAATCTAATTTATTAAATTGTCTTTGCGTGCATTATGTCCTATATAATATATTATATAAGATCTATATTTTTTTATTATTTTTCTATGTTTTACATATAATTTTATAATTGCCTTGTATTTATATATAAAACATAGGTACATGCGTACTTGATATTATGTTTCCTCCTAAGAACATGAGCGACATAAATATTATTTTATTTTAACATATATTATAAGAATACAAGCCGAGTCAAAATTAAAGTTTTTAACAAGAAATTTTTGCTTGAAGTAATATGATGATGAGCGATGGCTGGAAATCTGTATTGATGTTTCTCAGGTCAGTGATTTTTAATTTCAGAGGAACAAATGGTTAAATATTTTTTTCTAGGATATACTGATCTGTTCTATATAAAATATATAATTTGTATATTTCTTAACTTATATTTCACATAATCATCTTTTATATATTCATTGTTTTATATATTCATTGTTTATATAGTCATTGTTCGCAAAAAATTTAAATATACCATCGAAGTTTTAATTACCTGGAACAACAGTATATACTTGCTTCTGTACACGGAGAAAAATATTTGGTTGAATTAATTGGAATTCTAGTGAAAAATAGACGATCCAGAATTCTGGTTAAGTCTATTAAACTTCCGGTTAAATCTTCTAGAATGCTAGTTAATGTCACTAAAAAAATTCTGAATATTAATTATCTTAATTAGAATTTTAATAGATTTAATTAGAAATCTAGTAGATTTTGGGATCGTTTCATTTTCCATTTTAGAATTCCAATTAATTCAACCAAAATCCATGGAGGATTTTTCTTCATGTAGAAAGCAACGAAAATACATATCAAATTCTATAAATTAGACACATTTTTAGATTTTTTAAAATTTGATATCTTAAATCAAACATATTCATGAATTAATTGAATATATAAATGTTTTAAAGATAATGGATATTTTAATTTTGAAAGTGCAATTATTATAAGATGATTATAATTTAAAATTAATAAAATACAAGAGAAATGTGTAATTTATTAACCAAAGGAAGGAACGGTACATTACTTACATCACCAAAAGTTGCGATGGATAAATGGAATAATTTTCCTGCTGTGATCTTAATTACGTTATTCGATCGGGCAATAATCAGAATGAGACCACGTGCAGTTTTATGATGTAGATTGTACCAATTAGTCATATATGCCATTTCTCCAACATCTTTACACTATTGAATTGACATAAGATTTGAATTTGTGTAATGTGAGTAATGTGGAAAAAATGAGAATTTGGATTAAAATATTGATATAAAGAAGACAAATATTTAAATTTATTAAAAATAAGATATAATATTTAAATTGCTTTTTATTAATGTAAAAGTGTGATATTATACTCTTTTCTCAAAATATGCACTGAATTATTAAAAAATGTTAGTTTAATATTTTTCTTTTTGAGTGTTTTTGAATTCTCGACATAATACCTGTTCAGTGATAATTCCTCCGATGTAGCAAAATATAAATATATTAAAACCCATCGATAAATATACAATAAGGGAAGATGTTATTTTTGTCGTATCAAGTGTTTCCCAAGCCTACGCAATTGAAAAATTTGTATTTAATTTAATATATTTTTCGTGTTTAATTATCTACTCAAATTTTTGTATGGATGTAGCATGGAATATATTAGAATATAATGTAAATATTAGGTGTAGTAAAAAGAAATCCATTATTTTTCCAATAGATGGCTTTAGTAATCTGTATCTCGCGTTCGCTTTCTTTACTTATATAAATTATTTCTTTAATACTAATAATTGTGTCGAATATCAATTTAACACACAAAATATTCAAAAAGAATCCTATTATGTTGAATTGATATTTGAGTAAGTTAAAAATTCAAGACAAAAGCTTCAGCTATGTCTGATTTTAATACACCAAATGTTTTTTGTATTTTAAAACACAAAATGTTTTTTACTATGAAAAAATTAAGCTATAGAGACTTTAATGTATAATTTTTTATACACATTTATTTTATAATAGAATAACCATGTTTGATTTTTCATGATTAAATTCATGATATTTACTTGTATCCAAAATTTTTATTTTCTTACACCTCTAGCATACCGTAATAGTGTAATATCCAAGCAAACACATGACTACAGTGCACCCGGCTAATTCGACAAGAGCGGCTTTATGCATAATACTTTCCACTTGTGATATCAAACTGAAATGTATAAATGTATATAACAGTACAATTTTTTTATAAATAAATAAATCGGTACATTCAACTTATATTTTTCATGAACAATTAACAAACAGACTCTTTTAATAATCTATAAAAAAAGAAGAAATTTATTTGTCTTAATTTTGAATATACTCTCCCTCATTTTTAAATAATTCATTTTAATAATACTTAAAACCATCTTATACCATATAACCATATAGCTTTAAAGAATATGTATTTTTTATACAGTGCCTGCATATGAAATACCTTAATATTCTCAGATGATGTTCGACGATAGCAGCTAGCTTTCGTTCAGCTGTATCATTTCCCTCCTTTTGATTTTGAACAAGTTCATGTAGCCACGCATTCAGTACTTTTAATTGACCACAAGCATGTATTGCGAAAACGGCAGCCAGACTGCAAGCACCGACAGTAGACGAACTCACTACTAATATTGCAAGGTTTTGTAGAACCAACGCGATTTCATTCACAGGACTAAATCTCGTATCGATGATCTTACTATAAATCGGACACGTCATCGGATGTGTTGTAAAAGTTTCATTGCCGACGTTAATGGTTATGGTTTTCATTGCCTTTGCTATGCTGAACAGGATTGTACCACCATACATGATTATACCACAAATTATGGCGACGAAGCGACCGAACTTAGCTTGTTGTAACATTACTTCACGATTATCAAGTCTTTGTATCAAACGCCAATCTGTTTCCATGTGTCGTATTACTTTATGAATATCACCACTGCGCTTAAGCAGCACCCAGTAATGTACCGAGCCCATAACTCTGTGAAGTAATGGCCCAACGGCACTCAGTTTTAGCTTGATATTGACTTTTTCAAATAATACATATAACAAACATGGTACCATATTGGATGCTATCATGCTTGAACAAATAAAAATATGTAGTAATATCATGATTTTGCACACTAAACTCGATGCATTTATTTGTGGCCACGCACCAATTGGCTTGAGAAACCATCGACTAAATTGTAAACTGTAATCGTTATATTTTTTCGATCTATTGTATTCTGATGCACATTTGGAAGTTGACATGATCGCTGCACGAAAGCACACGGTATACTGACACGAATGGACAATACATCGTAACGGAATATGAAGAAGCGCCTGCGCCAATCTTCATCAGAGTTTGATGAACGACCTAATATCATAAAAGTGCCCTGAGAGAAGCATATATTCAGTCGATGTAATTGTTCATCGAGAGTTTTTATTATCCGATTTCTGAGAGAACATCGCGTGTTATGAACAGTGTAAAATTGTGAAAGTAACATTAATGTTCGTATTCATAGTGAAGTCTTGTATTTAAGACTTCCTTAAATTTATCTTCAGGTTCTATAAATTATTTTATTAGCATCTAAAGATAAATTTAAAAAAGCTTTAAATATAAGGTCTGGTTGTGAATACTAGCATAATAGTTCTCTATTTTAGCAAATTTTTTAAATTTAGTAATATGTTTTAATTGTATTTACTTACTAATTCACAGAACAAATTAAGTGGTGATAAAAATTAGAATATTTTGAAATATAGAAAATATAGTGAATGGATATAATTATTTCTCTAATAATATGATCATTCTATTACTTATAATTATAAAAATATTAGAATACTAATATATTTATAGTATGCATGATTTTTTTAGATAATTTTAAATACAATAATATCCAATTGAACTTTACATGGCAAGTTAAACTTTACGCATAATATTTTTCACGTGTACTGAAACGTATTTATATATTGAAATGTTTTATAATATATCAAATGTTTATTTTTACCAATATGTTTCCATTTTCTAGATGACTGAATAACTTGAATACATATTCAATTATAATAATTTAAGAAAAGATGGTCGATTGCAAACTGTAGTCGTTTTGTTTTTCAATTCAACTTCCTGCCACACACTTATGGTTCGATATGATCACTAAAGTCACGCAAAGCAGTGTCACGAATGAGTCAGTTGATTGTGCCAAAGTTGTGAAGTAACGCCTTTGCCAACCTTCGAAAGAGTTTGACGAGTAATAATAATGCAACTGTTTCGAATGGTTGCGTGTCTGATCAATAAATGTTTAGTACATACATTTGGAATAATATTGCATGCCACGAGGACTATACGAATATAAATTCGTAGAAATGAACGCACTTTAATGTCTGCTATGTTTTTTATTTAATTATATATTAGATGTGCTTCTTATATTGTTACAAAGGATAAATACGTATAATTTCGATGAATATAAAAATTAGTATTTTTAAATACAAAAATTATAATAATCATGAATATGTAAAAATTACTTAGTATATATCATTAAAAACAATTTAATGCTTTACAATCACTTGCGATTTTGACATAATCCGATTTTATTTAATAAATGTTGTTTTCAATAACTTGTTTTCAAGATTTATTTTATATAGTGCATATCTTGTATATTTCTTAACATATATTTTAACAGTCTTTACCAGGTTTTACAGAGTCATTGTTCTTAAGAGATTTAAATATACCATAGAAGTTTTAATTACCTGAAACAACAACATGCTTGTTTCTAAACAATGCAAAAACAATCATTATTTAATAAACTGTATATGTTATGATATATTAGATTTGAAAATTCATACATGTGATATGATTGAATTTATGGATTTAAGTTTTAAGTTAATAATAGATAAACGTAATGAAGATTATTAAAGAGTCCAATTCTTATAAGGTGATTATAATTAGTGTAGTAAAAGAATGTAATTTTTTAATTTTTTAATTAATGAAACGTTTAAGAATATTAGGGGATAGTTGCCGAATGCGTAACGATCTAAATCCTCCGTATTTTAACATAATATTTTATATTATTATTTAATATAAGCAACATTTAGTAACAAAAATATGAAAAAAAGAAATAGATAATACAGACAAAAAACTAACAGATTACATATTATTTTATTAGTATCAATAACATCAAAAAATCAAGTACAAATGGTATTTTTGATTAATTTATGCAGTTGATAATAATCTTTATCATTCAATTTTATTGTATTGTATGTTAAATTAATATTTAACACTTTTTTTTCAGTGAGTATAAATAACATAAAAGTAATGTAGTTTTAAAATAAAATTAGTGTGTTAATTTAACAAATTATAAAAAAAATGTTGATTTTATTTAAAAAATGTACTTTCACTATTTGTTTTTAGATACTGTCCAAGTGTTAAATTTTTATGTTGATTTTTCACATAATATTTGTGCTTTCATCATATTTCATTTTTTTACAAAGATATAAATGACTCATCGATGCACGTGAAATATATTAAATTCAACAGAAATTTTTCAACCGCGTAGACTGGAAAATAGCAATAGAATTTTTATATTGTTATAAAAAAAGTATAATGTAAAATATTTTACATTTATTGTACAGATTTGTAATTATGTAACGATTAAATCAGTATTTTTAAAAAATCTATTAAGTTTCCTAATTATATTATCACAAAGTAAAACTGATAATTGACAATAATAAAATTAATAATTTACATGAATGTAATAATTGCAAAAATAAACTCGAGTCATTTTTATTTCGATATCTTTTTTCATTATTGTTATTTAATAATTAATAATTATTAATAATTATTGTACAGTTGTTTCTTTTTGTTTATAAATTATTAAAATCAAGAGCCTATTAGCTAATTATTAGTATTATTTAATGATTTTTTTATTAATCTAATATTTTTATTTATTTTCATTCATATATTTTATATTCGATACTTTCAAAGAAAATATGATTTGAAAGTATCGAATATAAAATATATGAATGAAAATAAATAAAAATATTAGATTAATAAAAAAATCATTAAATAATACTAATAATACACACAGATTATTTAGTTAGATGGTCAGTTGCCCAAATTATATCTTTTGTTTTTTGTTATAAAAAGATAATAATTGTGATTAAAAGTTAAACATGTTATAATAAATATTTAAAACATCATGTTACAATTTACAATATTTATTTACGTACAAATTAGTATTAAATAAATAATAAGAAATAACTTGAGTGGTACGCATTCAATTACCCTCTTAAGTATAATACATTAAAATTTGAAATTTTTAATCTCACACATATAATAGAATTTATTAAATGAGTTTGAAAGATAACAAATGGATAATTCAATTGAACAGTTTGAAATCAATTATTCAATTCTTATAAGATGACCCTAATTTGGAATTAATAACGTATAAGAGAAATGAAATTTATTAATAAGACGAATCTTGGTGAAAAATCTGCATTACTTACATCACCAAAAGTTGGAACAGATAAATGGATTAACTTTCCTGCGGTGATTTTAATTACGTTATTTGACCGGGCAATAATCAAAACAAGATCACGTGCAGTTTTGTGATGTAGATTATACCAATTAGTCATATATGCCGTTTCTCCTACATATTTGCACTAATAAATTCATGAGATTAAAATTTTCTATGAGTAATAAAAGAAATTTAATAATTTTTTAGATTACATGATATTGAAAAAAACAGAAATACTCAAAATTGTTAAAAATGACAATTATATTTTAACATTTTTTTTTTATTAATGTAATAACATTATATTTCACACTTTCTTTAAATATTGACCAAATTAAAAAATTCAATATTTTCCTTAATTTTAATATATTTTAATTCTCAATATTTCTTACCTGTTCTGTAACAATCTCCCCGATGTAGCAAAATATGAAAATGTTGAAACTCATCGATAAATACACTGTAAGGGAAGATGTTATTTTTCCTGTATCAAGTGTTTCCCAACCCTACGCAGTTAAAGAATTTGCATTGAATTCAATGTATTTCACATGGCTAATGATCCACTCAAATTTTTATGTGAATGTAATATGCTGGAATATGTTAGAAAGCAATGCAAATATTACTTAAAAAATTAACACAAAAAATAGAACGCTTTGATATAGTTTAAAATTGTAGAAGTATACTTCTTGAGCAAAATTAATATTTGCAATTTAAATTAACACATTTATTTTATTCATTTAACTTAGAATTTAACTTAGTTTTCAAACTATATTATTTTTATGTTATTTATATATTATCTAGAACCTGTTCATGAACTGTGCCTCTTTAATACTAATTGTTATCCATCAATTTAATACAAAATGTTTCAACAACATAATGATATTAAATGTTAAATTAACGTGAGTATGTTAAAAACTCAACACAATATCTTGTCAACAACCGACGAATACAAAATGTTTTTTTTACTTTGTAAAATTTAACATATAAATTTATCTTTACTATAATATAATTTGTCATTTTTAATACACATTTTATAAGAATAACAATGTTTGACTTTCCATAAATAAGTAACCTTTATTTATATAAAATAAAAAATTTGCATTTTTTCACACCTATAGCGTACCGTAACTGTGTAATATCCAAGCAAGGACATGATTACCGTGCACCCCGTTAATTGCACAAAAGCAGCTTTATGCGTAATACTTTCCACTTGTGATATAAAACTGAAACATTTATAAATGTATACAACACAGGAAAATTTTTTTATAAATAGTTATCGGTATATTGAACTTATATTTTTCATGAACAATGTCAATTTTTCGATTAACAACAAATTTCATTTTAATAATCTATTTAAGAAAAAGAAAATAAATTTTAACAGAAATATTTATTTTTAAATGATTAGTTATTAATTTATATAATTATATAATTTGGAAATGTATTATAAAGCATAAAAGGATATGAATTTTTTAAATGAATGCCTATTTTACCTCAATATTCTCAGATGATGTTCTACGATAGCAGCCAGTTTTCGCTCAGTTTTATCATTTTCCTTCGCCTGATTTTGAACTAGTTCATGTAACCATACGTACA